CAGAGAGAGCATGAAAATGATCAAAAATCCTCACCCACAGCACAGATGATGGAATGAAAGAGTAAAGATATCTCATGTGCAATTATGGTAGCTTGTTTTTTCCCAGTGGTATGAAGCAGGGATTAGATCTTCTTTCAATAGTAATTTATGATTAATTTTGTAATAAAATTATGAATGTGTTATAAGAACTTTAAAAATCAATTGAATATGTTAGGTTGAATCATATGAGGGAATATATAGCATTAGGTGTGGTGCAGTTAAGGAAAATGGAATTACTGGATCCCCACCCTGGGACTGCTCCCACTGCCAAAGCTGAATGTAAATCAAACTGGAACCAGAAGGAGACGGAAGCCAATAAGACCTATCCCAGTGTAAAGGGGTGTATGGGGGTGTAACACACCAGGACAGTCCTTCTTACAGTGAGGGACAGAGAACCTAGGGGTAGGCAAAGCTCGAGAGTCTGAACAGTCAGGCAGTGATGTTAGAGAAGCTGGATAGAATCCTGTGGGGATGGGATGGGGACATTGACAAGGCTCATGAACAAAGGGGAGCTCCACTCCTAAAGGACCTGAATTGATAGATGGACAAAAGATGGATTCAGCCATCGCTAAGGCAAAAGCCTAATTGTAAGAAGTGCGTCCCAAGACCATGGAAAAACGCATATCCCAAGGGACCTGATTCTGTTTCAAGCTGCTTCACAGCTCCCTGTGTAAGATGCCCAGTGGTCCTGAATATTTTGTGTGGGAGCCAGGAAAGGGGGCAACATTCAGACTACAGCTGAAGTCCAAGGAGTCCCCACCTTCAGGAGGATGCAGATGACAGTTTGAGTATCTTTTGAACTAAAGGGGACAAGGTTATTTTTAATGTATGCATTTAAAAAGTAAGAATGCAGAGAATGGCTAAAGAAAAGATAACATAAAATCCCTCCCATACAACAGGATCCTTGAAGCAAAGCACATGGTAGCAAGATCATGGTCGTCTCTCCGTTCATCTACACCATGTCTGCAGCCAGCTGCTGGCAGCGTACGTGGTAGTAGACTGAAGTATTCCACATTTCTGGACCTCTTCCAGCTGCACTGGACTGGAGTGTATGCCAGATAAAGGGCTGGCCAAATACCACTGCTGGAGCCTCAAAACAACAGATCTACAACGAAGTGTGAAGGCCATCCTGAAGTGCCAACATTTCCATCTGGGGGTCCATTTGCAAAAGTGCATGCATGCCACGTTTTAATTTTCAGAAGAGATACGCACTTTGAGTGCATGATGATGTAAGGAGAACTGCACATGTGTGGTCATCAATGCAGGGCTATTATTTATTCTGAAATACTTCACATTGTTGCCTACTCTTCTCAGCTCAAGCCTAAATAGCATGCGAGCACTTCTTTCAAAGGCTGCTTCTCTACAGGAGTGTGGGAGTAGGTTGATGCTCTCCTAGGGATGGGGCCTCTGTTTTTGAAAAAGCATATTCAATTTCATGCAATTTTCTGTTGGAAAAAAATTATAAGGCCTAGTGTCATCATATCAATGGCAGAAAATAAAAGTTAAAACCTTTTTGACCAGAAGATTTGGGTAAGGTGAACCACGTTAAGTTTGGCTTTCTTTGTAATGGCACCTGTTTGGTTGCAATGTTCTCCATCTTCCCACTACATAAGATGGAGAATTCCTGAAGGACAGGGATAACAGCAAAAATAATACTTTCTACATTCACACAGGGTTTTACAAGGTGTTGAAGAGCTTTCTCTGCTAAATTCAGCATGCTGAAACAGGTAGCTGCAGAGGGACTGTGGACAGATTTCCTGGGTTTCAAACCTAGCTTCACCAGGACAAAACTGCGTGACTTTGGGCAAGTACCCTCATCTATAACATGGCGACAATAATACTTCATCCTCCTAGGGCTCATAACCCTCAGTTGTGTGTATTAAATGCATTTTGTATAAAAAGCACTCAGCATAGTTCCAACCTCCTAGGGGCTGAGAAGGAAATATGGGCTGTCATTGGACATGGAACACACGTGTACTTGTGTGATCCTTGTAACAATCCTGTGACTGTCATGGAAGTCAGGTCCATTTTGCACAGATGAGAAACTAGGTCACAGGAAGTCTTGCCTAAAGCCTAGACATTCCTCTCAAGGAACTAATTACAAAAATCTTGTCATTAGCTTGGGTCCTTTTTCAGTCGACATCAATCTAGGAGTAAACAAGGGTAACAACAATGCTATGAAGTAACATTTCTTTGGCCCACCCTCACCAGCAATTTGGAAGATTCCAGTTTCCATAAGATTCACTTGAGCTGTTCTGGGAGTCTCAGGACTGTGTGATAGGTCCTCACACACAAGTCTGCTTAGTTTTCACTTGATGAGTAACTTTTTTGTCATTGACTCCATCTGCCGTGGGGGTGTCTCAGCCAAAGCTGCCACCCCATCACATCTTTCCCCACGTGCTCACACTTAGGCAACCCAAGTCTCAGCTGTGGCGTCTTCTGCTCCAGCTGCTGGACTGTCTGTCTCACCAGCCGTCTGCCTAGGATAGGACACAGCCCAAACCTAGGCTCAGGCTGTGACCCATCACTCATGTAGAAAATCAGGAGCTTAATTCCTTCTCAATCAATATATTAATTCTTTATTAGTAATAAAATGTTAAAGTATACTTTTCAAAAATGCAAAATCATGATTCTCAGGCAAATACAAAATAAGCACACGTCAAAGATGTTTTCTCAAACTCATTAATTAAAGGGGAGCCAGTAAGTTGTTATGACCACTTCCAAAAGCATTATAGAAGCAAAGGCACTTTATGGGAGGATAAGATTTCTGGCTTAGACACAAAATTGATTAATGTCCAATAGGCCTGTAAAGAAAGAAATTATTATTCTAGTGAAATATAGAATCTCTCCTACCAAGTCTGTTAGGTTAAAAACCAAAACAAAACAAAAAAATTCTTTCATACATCTTATTAAGGTGTCTAAGAATTGACCATCTAAGTAGAGAGAAACCCAAGTTTTAACATAATGATATTTGGCAGTATAAGTTCCACAAGACTTTTTCATCTCCTTATGAATAAATCTATCAAAATTTGGTCAACTTTGGCAAAATTTTAATATATTTTATCACATCTTTCAGATTCACTGTTGTAAATCAAAACAAATTATTTGCTAACCTTCTACAACTTTCTATATGCATTCAGATTTTGTTTTTTACTCTTATCTAACTTTCTGGAATAGCCTAATGACATAACTCTTCTAAATTCTTGTTAACTTACTAAAGAAGAACATATTAAACAACAAAAAAAATCCCTTACTTGCACAGTCAGTTTTCTCCATTAATATTCCTCATAATCAAGTCTCAATTACCAGTACAAGTTATAACTTAAAAGCAAACTAACTCTTATTACAAGAAAAAACTGGGCGGCAGAAATTGAGAAATACCTGTTGTGCATATTTCAGCAGATGAGCAAAGCTAGCAAATGCACAGAAAACTATTTTCCACAGCTATATACATCCCTTTTACTTCTGTCCTGAGTGGAATCAGAAATGGCTTTATTAATAGGATATTATGGCGTATGAAAATAAGAAGTAAAAGCATGTATTATATATTTTTTTTTTGAGATGGAGTTTCACTCTTGTTACCAAGGCCGGAGTGCAGTGGCACGATCTCAGCTCGCTGCAACCTCTGCCTCCTGGGTTCAAGCAATTCTCCTTCCTCAGCCTCCTGCGTATCTGGGACCACAGGCGCGCACCACCATGCCCAGCTAATTTTTGTATTTTTAGTAGAGACGGGGTTTCACCATGTTGGCCAGGATGGTCTTGATCTCTTGACATCTTGATCCACCCGCCTTGGCCTCCCAAAGTGCTGGGATTGTAGGCGTGAGCCACCGCGCATGGCCAAAAGCAGGTAATTTTAATTTATGTTTAGTAAGATCTCAGTATTCAATTTTACTAAGAAAAAGAGTGTTTTATAATCTAAGGACGTTGATCTATGTAGAAGGTAAAAATTTCTGTTGATATAAAAATTTGGTAAATAATTATTTAATTTGCTTGAACACATATGTGTTATTTCCATAATCTTAAGCATGATGTGGTGGCAGTATTTGCTTTTTACTTTATTTAAATCAATAAAATGTTTGAAGAATCCAATATAAAACAAATTTCATGAAGAAAGAGTGAGAACCCAGAGTGTTGTAAAGTCATATGCAAGAGTTTCTTATCAACAAATGCAGTAAATAATATACATATATGTTATTGCATACATATATATTGCATATATATTATATATGAAAGATAGCAAATATGTATATATATACACATACATTATATATACAATATATATAATATATAATATGTATCAATATATATAATATATACAATATATATTATACGTACAATGTATATTATGGACATTACATATACTATATATAATATATAATGTATTTCATCTTTACTTCTTGTACTCTTCTTTTATATCACTTTCTTGGCATAATCTCCTCCTCCTCTGTCCCTATCTCTGTGCCAAACATATTTTCGAGGAAACCAGAATTGATCACACACACACACACACACACACACAGAGCAGGAGATGAGCAGCCGGTGAGTGAGCATTACCACATGAACTCCTCCTGTCAGATGAACAGTGCATTAGATTCTCATAGGAGTGCGAACTCCATTGTGAACACACGCACACACACACACACACACACACACACACAAAATATTGCTCCTGTACTGTGATCATATTCGAATTATCCCTCCTTTTCTGAAATCTTTTTTCCTTAATTCACAACCAAATATGATGATGGCTGAAAAAGTTAATAGATCACTAAAACTAAATTAATGGTAGCTAGCATTGTAGGTGGCTATAGCAGTTAAGTGAATGGGGATGGCTTCTCAGTTATCAGCAAATGTAACAAAAGATTGAAATTAACATACGTTGCTTGCAGATGATGTAACTATTTACATAGAAAATCCCAAAGAATCAGAAAAAATACTCCTACAATAAGTGATTATATCAGTGTTGTAAATTTATCTGTAACCTTGTGGAGAAGACCCTGGCGCTGGTGAACGCTGCTGTGACTTACTCGAAGCCTCAGTTGGCCACATTTTGGTACTACGCCAAGGTTGAGCTGATTCCTCCCACCCCTGCTGAGATCCCTAGAGTTATTCAGAGCCTGAAAGAAATAGTCAATAGTGCTCAGACTGGTAGCTTCAAACAACTCACAGTTAAGGAAGCTGTGCTGAATGGTTTGGTGGCCACTGAGGTGTTGATGTGGTTTTATGTCGGAGAGATCATAGGCAAGCATGGCATCATTGGCTATGATGTTTGAAGACCAATCTTTAACATCTGGTTATATTTGATTTATTATTTGAGTGTTGTTGGACCACGTGTGATCAGACTGCTATCTGAATAAAATAAGATGTGTTAAAAAAATATACAAAAGTCAACTACTTTCCCCTTTATAAGGAATGAACAATTAGAATTTGAAACTAAAACACCATACCATTTACATTAGCATTAACAAACAAATGAAATACTTAGTTATAGATTGAACAAAATATGTATAAAAATCTATGTAAGGAAAACTATAAAAACTCTGATGGAGGAAATCAAAGATCTAACTATGTTATTGCAACCATATGGCACTCTGGGAAAGGCAAAACATAGAGATAGTAAAAAGATCAGTGGTTGTCAGTAGTTTAGAGAAAGGATGCAGAGGATAAAAAATGGGATGTAGGGGATACTGGGTGTGATGCAGACAGCTAATATGTGTGATACTGGAATGGTGGATGCATGACCATGCACATTTCCCAAAGCCCATAGACTTATGTAACAGAAGGTAGCCTAATGTAAACTTCAGACTTTGGCTATCAACCATGTATCTATACTGGCTCATCAGTTATGACGCATATACCACACTAATGCAAGCTGTTTGTAGTAGGGGAAACAGGAGGAGAAGGGGACAGGGAAGAGAAAATATACTGGAACTCTCTGCACTGTTCTGTAAACCTAAAAACTAAAAACTACCCTGATACATATTTTTTTTTTTAAATAAGGTCACAACGGTTTGCAAAACAGACTAATTATTCTACTGATGTGACCTTCAAATAGAACATACTATCCACTGGCAATCATGTAACACTGACTTTTAAAACAAGGAAACCAATAACGCATCCTATTTGGAATGTTGGTATGTTCGATCTCAATTACCAATAAGTTTAGGTCATAATGGGATCTGTTTTCTTTTTTTTTAATAAAGCAATTTGGGAAGATAGGAGCAAAGTGGAACTTTTCTAGCACCAGGAGTAGCCATGGGATCTTGCATGCCAGGCCGAGGACTCCTCCTTCTCTCTGTTTTCTCTATATCAAGGCTACAGTAGAACTTGAGGAATCAAATAAAGTAATTGCAGGGCAATAAAGTGAGGTGGGTGTTAGAGGATTAAAAGTGAGTTTACATATGTGGACTATATCTCTTTTAGAAACAGGTCATGGTGGTGTGCACATGTGTCTATGTGTGAGAGCATATACATGCACACATCCATGCATTTTTAATGGTCCCCTTATCAATTATTGATATAATCTGAAAGCTATCACTTTAATTGCTCTTCTGGAGTGTGATTTCTCAGTCCTGGATATTGTATGATTGTGATGACTATCTCCATTAGTATATAAAAGCAAAACTAGGTAATATAAATGCAATTTTAGCAGAGCATAAATTTTATGCTTTTTAGAGAATTATGATCAGGGCTGTTATACATTATATTTGCTAAAAAAAAATAGAAGAAAAGTAATGATGGGGTCAAGCAGAAAGAGGATTAAAATACAGGAAAATAATATGAATAAGTAAGGATAATCTTGAATAATGCTTAGTTTGGGAAGACTAGTGAAGAGAAGATGACCAAAAGACTGGTATTCACCTGTTTATGTTCAAACATAATTTACCATAGTTTCCCTCTTTGAGAAGAAGCTAGTGTGATAATTACTTTTATGTGTCAACTTGACTGGGCTGTGGGATGCCCAGATGTTTGGTTAGGCATTATTCTGGGTGTGTCTGCTTCTGGGTGAGATTAACATTTGAATAAGTGAAGCATACGGGCCTCCCTAGCATGTCTGCTTCATCTAATCCCTTAAAGCAAGAGTTTCCAACTCCCAGTCCATGGACCAGTACCTGTCCATGGCCTGTTAGGAACCAGGCAACACAGCAGGAGGTGAGCAGCTGGTGAGTGAGCATTACAACCTGAGCTCCTCCTCCTGTCAGATGGGCAGTGGCATTAGATTCTCATGGGAGCACAAACCCTATTGTGAACTGCATATGCAATGAAGCTAAGTTGCATTCTCCTGATGAGAATCTAACTAATGCCTGATGATCTGAGATGAAACAGTTTGATCCTGAAACCATCCCTGCCCCCCAGCCCCCAGTTCATGGAAACTTGGTTTTCCATGAAACCAGTCCCTGGTTACAAAATGTTTGGGGACTGCTGCCTTAAAGTCCTGAATAGAACAAAATGCTGAGCAAGAGAGAATTCATTTTCTCTGCCTGAACAGTCTTCAAGCTGGGACATTAGTCTTCTCTTGCCTTCAGACTTAGACCGAAACTTACACCATTGGATCTCCTAGTTCTCAGGCCTTCAGACGACAGTGCTTAGAGATTTTGTCTTCAGATTCATGTAAGCCAATTATTTATTGAATTGGAGATATATGTGTATGTCTCCAATTGAATGTGTGTGTGTGTCTGTGTGTGTGTGTGTGTGTGTGTATAACATAATTCTCTAAAAATAGACACACAGAGGCAGATATATGCACATATACACAAGCATACACAGATATATATGTGTATATACATGCATGTATATATATGCATGTATGTACATAGTACATATGTATAAATGTACACATGTATACATTTGTGTGTATGAACATATTTGCATATACTGTATATGTATACATATGTGTGTTCATATGTGTATACACACATACATATATACATACATACATACACCCTGTTCATTTTACTTCTCTGGAGGACCCTAACAAATACAGCTTGATGTATAATTATACAACAAAGCCTAATGATAATTCCAAGAATTTTTAAATCTAAAGATCAGAGAAAAAGAGGTTTTCCACAATGGTTGAACTAATTTACACTCCCACCAACAGTGTAAAAGTGTTCCTATTTCTACACATCTCTCCAGCATCTGTTGTCTCCAGATTTTTTAATGATCACCATTCTAACTGGCATGAGATGGTATCTCAATGTAGTTTTGATTTGCATTTCTCTAACGACCAGTGATGATGAGCATTTTTTCATATGTGTGGCGATTCCTTAAGGACCTAGAAATAGAAATTCCATTTGACTCAGCAATCCCATTACTGGGTATATATCCAAAGGATTACAAATCGTTCTACTATAAGGACACATGCACACGAATGTTCATTGCAGCACAGTTTACAATAGCAAAGACCTGGAACCAACCCAAATGTCCATCGATGATAGACTGGACAGGGAAAATGTGGCACATATACACCATGGAATATCATGCAGGAATCAAAAATGATGAGTTTGTGTCCTTTGTAGGGACATGGATGAACCTGGAAACCATCATTCTCAGCAAACTGACACAAGAGCAGAAAATCAGACACTGCATGTTCTCATTCATAGGCGGATGTCGAACAATGAGAACACATGGACACAGGGAGGGGAGCACTATACACTGGGGTCTGTTGGGGGGAAATGGGGGAGGGATGGGGGGTGGGAAGGTGGGGAGAAATAGCATGGGGAGAAATACCAGATATAGGTGAAGGGGAGGAAGGCAGCAAATCACACTGCCATTCGTGTACCTATGCAACAATCTTGCATGTTCTTCATATGTACCCCAAAACCTAAAATGCAATAAAAAAAGAAGAAAAAAAAAGAAAAAAAGAGGTTTGCTCAAAATTATAAAGAAAGGAGGATGAGTTATAGGCACACCTTCATAATGCACAAAATCATGTAATTCAGGGGACCACACTTCAGGCTTGCCACAGCTCTTTGCATGTTCTTTTTTGAACGGTATCACTTGTGCTATGGTTGATTTAGTGTCTCTCTCTTCTCTCCCACTTGCTGACCTATTATTTTTTTCCTATAGGGCTGGGGCCCATCTTTTTACATATTTGTATCCACTGCTCCTAGCATAATACCTGATCCACTGAAGGCACTTTGCTTACATATAACTTGTTTTGCAATGTATAAATAAATCAACGTTTTCTCAAAGTCAATATAAATAGGACACAGTGTGAAATATTCAGTTGGAGTTTATCACAGTAAAATAAAATACTGTATGGGACAAAAACAAAAAATTAAATTACATGCTTCAAAATAATAGGAAAAAGAAAAAAAATAACAATACAAAAATCCTCCTATATAGAATTTCAATCTTCTCACTTGACAACTTGAATTTATGTTCTTTTGCTTTTCAAATCAAGTATAATAGGCATATATAATTAAATAAGTTGTCCAGTAGCTGGAATTTACTGTTGAAATCCAAGGTAAAAATTGAGTGAGTCTTAAAATAAAAAAGCATTTTTATATTATTTGTAGTTTTATTTTGTTTCAATTTCTAAAAGAAAATTGGTAGCAACTGGAGACAAGTCACAGTAAAAATTAAAGTGCTGAGATTATCATATAAATTTTTCACATACTTCATAAATAGGTTTTATTTTTAGAATATTAATAAAAACGTTCAGTCATAGCTTTTAGATACAGAAGCTGTCTATGCCTTAAGACTAAATGAGAAAGAAGGCAGAAGAAAATCAGAAAGTAACATCTAGAAAAAAAAATGGAAAATTTTAGAATAATAAAACAGGCAGTGACTGTGTTTTCAACCATCAAGGATACAGGAGAATCATTTTGCTATCATGTGCGTCTTATATACTTTTTAAAGGAAAAATGGTATTCTGTCTATTTGCTACACAATAAAATATTAAGTCGTGAGTAACTAGTGAAGCTTAACAGAAGTTGGATATCCACGAGACTGCCAACTTGATGCAAATATATTTAAAACTGATTTTACTATCGGAAATGACCACTATGACCTCAAGACCTTTCTTTTCATAACTCTAATGTCTTTCAAAGCAAAAACTGCATTAATAAGTCTCCTACTGAGTGGAAACTTACTCTAATATGTCCTATGTAATCTAATCCTGATGCAAAAGTCTTCAATGCACCATAAAAACAAACATTTCTACCCTGGAAAGAAGTCCTAGTGGATCTAAATATCCTCCATAATCATATCAATAAAGGTGAAGCAGCAAACTAGACAAGTATAATTTTAAGGCTCTTTTATTTTTAAAACAACAGAGATGAAAATGAAATCTCTATAATTACTTTTATTAACTCTACCATAACATGGAATATATTTTAAGTTAGAAAAATATTGACTTTTTAAAAAATGAGA